CTTTTCTGTTCCACAAGTGAAATATACCACCTGTGGCACAGGCAGAACAACAAATACCCATCATCTGCATTTCTTCCCTCCTTCTTGTACTTCCACCCACCACCACCACCACCAACCTCTATTACCCAACCCTCTTTTGCAAAGATGGTCTGCTTGATGTGCATCTGACTAAACTCTGAAGAACTATTCTATAATTTACATAGTTCCAAGAGCTACTGCTTCTTTTCCATACCTAACAAAGGACTGTAATCCCTAAAGCTCACCTACCTTTTCCAGTTACACATCAGTATGTCAAATCCAACATCAACCCTTGCAAGACTTCTACTTCCCTAGACTAATATGAGAGATTCTTGCATTTTAACCTAATAAAGAAATACCTTGAGTAACATTAACGCTTGAAATACATACGTAAACTGATTTACTGAGTTGACCTCAGCAATTCTGTAACAATACATACCCACAATGTATTTTTTGTGATACACAGAAGTGGCTTTCTTGCACAGCTTCTAGGCGCTATCTAGTGGTGAGAGTGCCTTACAACAGCTTCACTAATTAAGAACATCTTTAAGCTCTTCGGCTTGATTTTAAAAGATGAAACAAAACAATTGGTTGTAGTTTAACATGCACGTAAATAAAACAGCAATACTAGCATACTTTAAAAAAAAAGAAAAGAGTATTTGAAGAATCAGTCAATTCAAAATCATACTGGAATTCCATGAGTTCCATTTTAAGATGCATCACGTACTGTCTTTGATAAGCCAGCCCACCACATTCAGATTCTATTAATGCTGGAGCAGGGATGGTAAAGACTCTCAGCTGTTGCACTAAGATTACCTGAGACAGAAGAGACACCAAGCTGTGAGTGAGCTTTGAAAAATGCAAAGTTAGCCTTCTTATGGCAGCAAGACAGCAAGATCAGTGTTTTGTAGCTGAGAATTTGCTCTATCAAACAGCATTATTGTACTCTTTGTAGCTGTTATATTTTCTACGGAAATATATAAGAGGCATTTCTTTCAGAGTGACCTCTATATATTGCAGTTTCATCCATATGGCATCAAGGGATTATTTGTGGGTGTTATTTAAGTTTGGTTACAGTAAGTGGAGAAGAGAACTCACCACCTCCAGGTGCATAACCCTATTGCTGCAGCTGCAGAAAGTCATTAGAATGTGATCATATAAACTGAGTGATCAGTATGGATGCCTGGTTCTACAAACTACAAGAAATTATGAGCTCAAACATCTTAAGAGGACTTTTACTTCTCTAGATTGAGGACAAAAAAAAAGTTAAATATGTATTAAGACACACTAAGTCTTAGTTTCAAAAGCACTAATTAGAGTAAGATGGTGAAACATTTTGACCAAACTAAACCTCCAGAAAAGATGACATTTGGAAACAACTAAATTCAGTATCTCTAAAAATTCAGAGTTTAAAACTGCACAGTCAAGTAGCTGTATTTTACCAACCACCACCTTAAGTTATAAAGATAACAGCAAATCATCCTTTTTTTTTTTTTTTTTTTTGACAGTGCATCATATCAAAGTTAGACTATAATCACTTGAGGACCTCTGCTGATTAAAAACAGAAGTTTTACATTAAGCCTGATCCCATTCAGATGAGCCAAGGTAGCTGAATCCCATGGGAGTATCAAACCTCACCTGTATCTGCAAAGAATATTACTGCACTGCTGCTGTCAGCTGTAGTACATGTTAGGTGAAGAGTATTACAAGTTACTCAGAATTCTAGGCTTTTCATTAGCTTTCTGAATCTTGCAGGGTAGAAACAGCAGGATTCCCCGGAACAGTCTCCAGTTAGGAAAAAAACAGGTAGGGCACATTTCAATTGGACTCTGCTTCCATCTGATATTTGACAGAAAACGGAGCAATAGTTTTGGGAAACCAGAGCTGCATCATCAGTTTACACAGACTGCTTTACTAGCACAAAATTATTAATTACTTACAGTGGTTTCACTTTTCCTGTAGCAGAATGCTGTACAAATGTATAACCCTCTGGAAATCACTATTTTGGCAATATACAGCAAATCTCTACAAGCACATGCACTACTTCCCCTTTCTATCTTCAGCCTCAGATCATAACCCCCACTGCTACACATTATGACAAAACATCTAAAGTTTATCTGACCAAGTCACTTCTGCTAGAACCACAGGTAGAATGACAGGACTGAAAAATTCCCACAATATCAACAAGAGAAGTTCCCTTAACTGCTTAGAGTGTAAAATAGTCCTCACAAATACTCTTCATGCACAGAAATGGAAATAAAAAAGATCATGCATCAACAAAGTCTGTATTCCTCTCTTCCTTCCCACACCTTACATAGCATTACATTTTCTTAGATACTTCTATAAAACAGCAACAACAAAGTAGAGAATTTCTACCATTAGCAAACTCTTGACAACAAGAAAAGCAGCTGATGCAGTAACCCTTCTTGCTGTGCTGGTGTTCTGGCATGCACTTACACAAGCAGCTTCCTGGGATCATGGAGAACTTCAGGGCTGTTTAGCCCCTTAGCCCTATAAAATTTCTTAGCCATCAAAAGGCTTTTGGAATTTATCTTACCTGAAATTAGATTTTGTATCTTTCAGTATTACCACTTACAGAGAAAACAGATGAAAATTGACTCACATAGCAACTCCAGTTCTATGTAAAGTTTATCTCAAGTACTTACAGCACCATGTGGGTTACTTCACTCTTGATAGTTTTTTTTTTAATTTATTTCTAAATATAATTAAGTTCACAGTATATTTTCTCCAGAAGAGATGGTAATAAATTAAGAGCCAACAACAAAAATCTGAATTTTGGCTTTCATTTGACATTATGTTTGGAATGAGGATTATATCTTAACTGATCTACACATTTTAAAATTGTTTCCTTATAAGACAAGGTGAATTGCTCCAAATATGTTACAAGTCAAAGTTCCATGATCAGTAAACTACATCAGCAGATAATTCAGTTTAGTTAAATCTGAGGACTTGGCTTTGGCAGCAAACCAGCATAACATGGACAGCCCAAAGATTTCTCCTTCTTAAGAGTTTCTTGGAATCAAATTTTAACGACAGCACAGCACCATAGACCATTTTCTTTTCTATCACCAAAAGATACCAACACCAAAAGATTTTCAACATGTTTTGGGCATCTCTCTGGTCAGGCAAAGGAGGAAAGCTGATGTCCATCCCAGAAGATGACAGCTAAAAGTAAACTGTTTTCACCTGAATTAATTTACAGCTTGCTCAGTCCGAGACTCCAAACATCACTTAATGGAAGAAGGGCACTTACTATTCTTTTTGCAGTTTCTCAGACCAGAAGGGAAAAGGCTGCAGGCATGATGCCTATTAGTCACAAGAGACTATACATACTTAGCAGGTACAAGTGCTGTCAATTCAGTGTTAAGAATCAGCTGCGTGCTACATGTTGTGTACATCCACCTGTAAAGTGAGGTGTTGCAAACATTCCCTAAACATGGAAAAAGCAGCATGACCTACCCACCCAGGAACTTCAGCACAGTGTTTCACTACCAACACTTAGATTTTTAATTGGAAGGATTTACTTTGATCAGATTAAGACTCAGAAGAAAATAGTTCTTGTTCATCAAACATGCACATACAAACTTCCACCCATTTAATTTATTCAAAGTTATAACCTCAGGCTGAAGGCTTAAGGTAAACTTTCATCGCCCCCTTCATCATTCAAAGAAAAGACACTAGAATTCAGATTTATCAGAGGTTAACAAGTCTTTCATACATGTGCTAAACTTGAAGAAATACAAACTGCTTGCCAATAAGCATTACCAATACAATTACATTATAATTATATTTGGCTTGATATAGCACCTTCCTTTAGTTAATTTAATCAAACTTAATGCAATAGCAGAATGCACAACAGCTGGTACCAGGAGCGCTTGCAAAATTTACAAATGAGAGAGTTTTAAAGTCACCAGCATCAGCAATCAAGTTTTGATTCCAGTTTACAAACAAAACTCAACTCAAACCATTAATGTTTATAGTTTAGGAATAATAAAGTCCCCTGAAGCCATTAATTGATTGCTGTTGTAATGGATGCCTAGACATTTTGGATTTTTTCTAAGCCAGTTATAAGTAATTCCATATGATATTGCTTTTTCTCTCTGTACAGTACAAACTCAACAATTATTTTTAGTGATACACATCTTCTAGATATTCCATAAAGTTTGCTGATAAACAGAAAAACCAGTGTATTCTATGGAAGATTTTAAATAGTTGAGCCTACTGTATTGTAAAAAGCTACAGATTTCCTTTCTTTTCACTTCATTGTAATTAATCTGTTTCCATTTGTAACTGGGAATTTGCAAACATAAAAGTTGTAAAAATATATATATTTTTTAAGGAGAAAAAAAGAGCACCATTTGCTTAAAATACATACCTAACTCCGGTATCAGACATTGCAAAGTCCATTTTAGAACCCAGTCTAACCACACTTCATACTGTAAACTTATTCTGTTTAGATGTAAATTTGTTCAAAATCCTATGAAGCTAAACTGATTATCCAGGTGTCTAGGAAGTCATATATAACTCTTAGATGTTGTGCAAAAAGCTGACCCTAGTTCTAGCCACTGCAAATATTGTTGGGTAGAAACAAACAAACAAAACTGTAAGCCATGTAGCACCCCACCACGGTTTCTTCTATTCTTAGCAAGCCAATGCTATACATAATATATGTAATGACAAGAACTTGACAACAGCCTGAGTTAATCCTGCAATGACAAGGCCAGGTAGCTTTCCAAAACATCACTTATCATTGAAGATCTAGCCCCACTTGGAATCCATACTAGATAGTATGTTTGGAAAGGGTAATTATGTAAAATAATTTAATTCAGCATTACTAACATTGCTATTAAATACATTCTGCATCTTTTTCTTACTACCATATGCCCCAACTTAAAAATAGTGGCATCACTTCTTAAGAGAAAAAGATTACGTGGCCTAAAAACAGGACAGCCAAAACTTACCTCTGAGGCCTACGAATATCCCAGAGACCCACACCTTCCTTAGAGTTGGCAGTAGCCAGTAATCTGGGTTCTACTGGATTAAACATCACGCTGTGAAAGGCTGATGGGTAGTGTGCCAAGCAGAAGGGCTCTGTTGAAAAAGTTGTGATTTCAGACATAAGAACAAACAAAGCATACAACTGTTTGATGCAATGAGTTTGGCAGCTCAGCATGGAAACAGCATAACAAGATCTGAAGATACAGAGACATGTTCAAACAATTTCTAAAGCTGGCAAATCCAAAGCAATATAAAAATTGAGGTTTTAAAATCCACCCACATATGCATTAACTTTGTATGATTACAGAAAGGTTCATACTGGATTTCAAGGCATTGTTTTGTTTATAAATTTTGAGTTTAAAAATAGCCACATACAAAAATAAAGCATTTGAGTCTTCTTAAGGTTCATGATCACGTGGTCATCTAAGAAGGATCATATGGGGGAGTTCTCAAAGTTTCCCAGCAAAGACCACGTATGTCTGGAAGCCTCCACAGCCATTGATGATTACCCAAACTATAAATATAGCAGCAATTGCTTACACTGGAGTACAATACCACAAAAAGTGAGATAAGTTGTATGGAACAGCACTCTAAAAGCAAGTTGCTATCCCTGGGGAAAGAGAGGCTTCTTTAAAGTACTATTCAGCAACTGTACAAGTATGCAAGAGAGGGAGCTCCTCTAATATGAAAATATTAATAGTTGGGATTGCTGTTCACATATAGAGTTAAAAACATGCTTATCCAGATTCTTCCTCTCAGCTTGGGTAGGAATAACAAGACTGTGCTTGGCTTGCTACTCTGCTGTATTCATTCCATCTAAATGTTGCCTCTACAAAGAGTGGGAAAAAGCCTTGACTTTGTCATCCTTCTCTGTCTCTTTCTGCTAGCTTTATAGCTTTAGGCATAGCTTAAGTCTCTGTTGTGTACCTCTTTTGTGGCATGCTGCCATGCTTTCACTCAACTAAGAAACAAGACTATGCCAGTCTTCACCACTTCACTGTTTGATGCAATCACTGTGTTGTTCATGTGCTTAGGAGACTAACTACCCTTATTTAGGTCACTGTTTGCAGGCACATTTAGCCCTACAAGCACCTCCAAAGGCACATCATCTTCACTCACATTTCTCATTAAGACACGTTTCAGACAATCCTCCCAAATACCCTAATACCTGAATCTACTGCATAGCAAACAACTGAGACAGTCCAGCCCCCATTTGTATCCTCCTCTTATGCCCTGCTACACCTTCACACCTGTATTTCAAATAGCCTGGAACCACATATCAAAATATGCCTTTCAGCCTGACAAATTAAAGAGATATTACAGCAGCCAAACTAACAAGGCACTAAGTCACTTTAATGAAAAATAGGGGGGTTCAAAGAACCTAAGACACTACTTCAAAGAACCCCAGACATACTACAGCTAAATTTATTTCACACTATTTTCCACCTGTGCAGAATTTGCATTAAAAGTCTCAGCAACAGTAAAGCAGTAGAAAGGTTTAATTGTAAGAAAGAAGGGCAAACGTTATTCTATACAATTTCAAAAACTTAGATGAGATCAGGCATTAGCTTATAATACTGAACAGTTTCATACAGATGAATTCAAGCAGTGTTCACTTCCACCAATTGTCAACCATAGGCAGCTCTCCTAACAGATCTTTATAATGCAGAGCTCAGGAAAATGCAGTAAGTAACATTTTGCCATTTCTAACTTGGAAGCCACATTAAGTGCCTGGTGGTCTAATCACTTGGATATTATAAAAATAGAAAATTGGGGCTGAAACGAGAAGCGTGGATTTATCAAAGTTAGAACAGCCACATCAGACCAATTTAGCTCTTTCTTTGAAAAAGCAAGTGACCTTTTACTTAGGGAAAATACGGCAGTTCTAATCAGGACTACATTTCACATGTGGTATAAGTTTAGCTACAGGCAGTTGGGATTGGCAAAGGGAGTTCTATGGTGGCTAAGCAACTGGCTGAAGAGAAGATACATCACTTCACTGCAATAGTAAGGGATTTCTGAGCAAGATGTGAGTTACTAGTAAGTTTCAGAGAATGATCCAGAGAAGAAACATTGTGGATGTTGTTATTAAATGTCCCACACCTGAGTGTGTATTCTGTTTTTCAGAAGTATTAATAAAATTATCATATGGGACAGAGATAAAAGGGTATAGCAACTGCACAACACAATCAGAATTCACAGTAAGACTCAGAAAACTAGATGTAACGCATTTAAGGCAATACATCCAGCATAGGGAGAGCATCAGTAAGCAATCTATTGTGAGTATTCTGGTGAGGGTTATTAAGGAAGACCTTGTTCTGCTTGTGCTTGCTCATTAAAGAGCTAATCATGTCACAGGGGCTAGAAGACTGATACAAGACTAGAAAGAATGTTGTTTCAGCTTTCACTTCCTAGGCAAAAAGGAAAAGAATTGTAATCTCAATATGTTAGCAAACTCAGTAGCTCTGGGGAAAAAAAAAAAAAACAAAAAAAACAAAAAAAAACAAAAAAACCTAGTTCAGCTAAACAGCAAGTTTGACTCATTAAAAAATGTAAACAAATTGCCACAAACAACTTTCTTGCAAGACCAACAGAATCTACAGACTGAGGCAATTTTATTTAGTCATGTTACAGAAGAAATGCCACTTTAACTATGATGGAAGGGAACCAGATTCTGTCTGCCTGCAGACTGCTCAGTTTTAAATTATCAGCTTTGTGTTCTTTAGGAAGGGGTGAATACATAACTTAATTTACTGACATATTCATATACTGAAGTATTTCACTTCAGAATTACGTAAATAGAGAGCTAAATTGAGATTCTCCAGGAGAAAAACTAAAACAAAGAAAAAATAGCAAACCACTAACACCCAGATTGTTAAGCGTTTTGAGAAGCTGCAGGTTTGCTATGTAAACCAACAGCACTCGGTTTTGTTTTAGAAAATTAAGGTTGAAGCATAGAAATTAAGCTTCTTAGTTATGTCATAAGGGCTCTAAGTTTCTACATAAATGCAAAAACATTTTTTTCCCAGATAAACTGATTTTGCTCTGTCAATTTTTATCTACACATCACAAGAAAACCGGAAAAACACACAAAAGCAATCACTAGTGTAATGGGGAAAACTAGAATTAGCTTTGGAAAGTTTTTCAAATGAAAATAATAGCTTCCTAAACTTCCAAAAAATTTTTATCCCAGGCTATATACAAAAACAGTGTTCTAAAACAAACACCTGACCCACTTTCCTAATTGGTTTCAAGTTTCGCAAGATGTTTTTTATTGAAGAAACACTGCTTCATTAACTCAAGTTAAAACCTATTCCATACCAAGTTCTATGCTACCCTTTGCTATATGCAGGTTCTTTATGAAGTCATTTAGGACAGTAACAATGAACTGTAAAAACTACAGTTTACCTAAAACGAATCACAAGAATTATGCATTATTTTCACCCTTCTCCAACATTCTCTTCTTTGATAATCCAGATAAAAATAGCTTTTGCTTTCCCTGCCTTGTCCATATACCAAGTTCTTTCCACATCCACGATCCTTTTCTCTGAATATCTCACCTCCATGAGAAGACTCTCGGATATCCCAGATAAGAACACGGCCATCATCTGATGAACTGGCAAAGATGTTATCATTAACTGGGCTCACTGAAAGGCCGTACACCGCATCTTCATGGGCAAACACATCCAAGGTCTCGGTGCTGGAAGAAAGACACAGTTTTACCTATACGGTAATAGTGATAAGGTACATTTATATATAAAGATCCTCGTGTTTAATTGGGGTAAGCCAAACAAACAAACAAAAACAATTACACAATGAAAAGCCATGTAGAGTGACCAAGAGGTCATGCAACAACTATTCTTGGGAGGAGGTAATGGGAAAGAGGTCTGAGGACCTGTGGACCAAGTTATAGTGCTTAGACTGTTAAGGAAAACAATACAGAAGCTGATTCATTAATGCAGGCTTCTGTATCACCCAAAAGTTCAGCCAAAGTTCACAAAAGAACAACTTTCCTGCTGACTCTTCAGATAGGTTTACTTGGGTCTCCAGGATAAATCAGACCCATCTCATACAGAAAAAGCAGAAAGAAATAAAAAAAAAAAAAAAGTCAAACAAGTGTCTGAGTTTCAGCCATGGCACAGGGGAATATTCTTTAGGGAATATACTTCGTATAGAATCTCTACATCTGTTGGATACTCCACTAAAATGACACCATACAAAATCAGTGTTTTGCCAATATGGTAAATTGCTCCTCTTGGTGAGAGATCTAATGTTATGTAATCTTAATGTCTCTCTCTTGTTATGTGATCTTAATGTCCATGGACAGTTAACAAAAAGCCCAGAAAAACAATAACAGCCATTTTAAAGAACAAAAAAGCAGTTGATGGATTAAGTATATACACTGTTATAAAGCAAGACAATAGAGCAGCTTTCTGGAAAATTCAATTAGAATTAGCGGCAGATTAATACATGTTCCTTCCATTTCAGAAGCAAACAGCTTTATAGGGAAGAATTATATAGAAGATTAAAACTAGACTTAGCACAGTTAGAGAAAACAAAACAAAAAAACACAATGACAACAAATTGAAAACAAAAGCACATTAAAAATACATCAGAATTAAAGAAAGACGACTTGTTTTAACATCTAAGCAAGAGTAGAACAAATATTTTATACAGCAAATTGTCAGCAACAAAGTTCTTATAGAAGCTTGAAAAATCACAACAAACATCAGCATCTAAAATTCTGACATTTCTAGATTTAATTAAAACAAGCACAGCCACCTACTGACAAGTAGACAAAACAGCATTATTAGAAAGCATTAGAAGAGCAAGGCAAAGTTACTTTTCTCCAACTCTCACCCAAGATTTAAAGAGAAGTAGATACTATGTATGATGGAACATAGATGTACAGTGAATTGGGACTAACCTAGCAGGAAGTATGTCCAGATTACATCAACCAGGATTTAAGAAATTTAAAAAGGTTTAAGGTTTTATATTTCTCTGCTCTTTCATTTCTCTCTTCCTGTTCTTTTTCTTTATACTTGATTTTCTTGAGTTCACGTTATTTCAGTGGTTATGCTTCAATCCATAGAAGCTATGAGTACAGATCAAAGTTTTAATTTACAGATTTTCTACTTCAAAAAATAAACCTAGTCTTGAGTAATCAAGGCTCAATTTTCAACTGTTTTTGGTTGATTGAGGTTTTTTGTGGGTTTTTGCTTTTTATGGGGGGAAAGGAGAAAACAAACAAAACAACACAGCACAAAACGAACAAACAAAACACACCTATGTGTCAGAATATTTGTATACGTGCCAGAATAATCTGACTCTGAATCTACATAAAACCTGCTATGGTGCCCGTAGAAGGGCATGTGTATTCAATAATCACTCTCTTACCAAGGTCAAAATGATGCGGAAACCAAGTACTTAAATTAATGAGGAGAGGAACACTTTATTCCAGATATGAATTTAGATAAATAAAATGCACATTTCAGGGTTAAATCAAAACTATGCTCTTCTCTCAGACTGTTAAATTAGAACAACCACCAAATAAATTCATCCAACGTGGAGCTCATGAAGCAGTAAGAACAAGAATTGTGTATACTGCTTACCTTTCAACATCATGGAGTATAACTTGCTCATCATTGCCTATAAAGATAAATACAAACAGTTAATATGATGTTTTAGTGGTTAAAAAACACCAGGGTGAGAAAAATTTTTTTAATGGGAATTTTGATTTTTTTCTATTTTGAAATTAAAACCAAAACAGTGAAAAGATCAGTGCTGTTGCCAAGTGGTCAGCCCTGCACTCAGTTTCATGAAAAGCTCCATGCGACATTTCCAGTCACAACCTAATGCACCAATGCATTCCATTTTCTACTGCTTAACAAATACTTCTACTGAATTGTGCTACTGTTCATCCTTCATTCAGTTTGAGCTTGAGCAGGACATCTGTAGAAAAGAGAAGAATATACTGCAAGGCAGCAGAACACCTTTAGCTCTCACCTTTGAATGCACCTTTCTCGCTGCTCAGAGAATGCTTCCTAAGAAGGTAATGGAGGGTGCAAAAAGGTGCCAAAGCAAAATGCATTGGGCTCACATGTCAAACGATGCCAGCTCATGCTGCCAGCCTTCAGAGTTTGGCAACCTTTGAGAAGGCACAAATGTGACAGCATGAATTGTAATTTCTTTTGTATTAACAAAAACCAAGCCAAGTATGCAGACAATCATGTCATTTTTCTTTGATTGCATCCATTGAATACAATGGAAACTAATCACATGCATGCAGAATAAGATCACAGCTACAAAGTAATTCCACTGGCTTCTGCTGTGCTTTTCAAGGGACAGAAAAGTACTTTTTTTCCCCCCAGTTTCTGCACTGAATATTAATTTACCTAATTTGGCACCAACTGTTTAAAAATATTCAAGGAAACACACATTTTATTCAAATGAATAAAAACAAAACCAACCAAACAACAACAAAAAAACCAAACGTTTTTATGCTCAGTATATCTTTGTAGTTGTGATATCAAGCTGTGAAGCTTTTCCAGTGTACATTAAAGCCAGAAGTTCAGGAGCAAGACTTTATCTATTATGATTTTCAAGTGTTCATATGACACAATTTCCATTCATCCCATATATCTTTCAATTCATTTGTCCCAATAGAATAAATACAAGAAAGTTTCTCTCTGACTAATGAGGCATCAGACTTCTCTATACCTACTTCTTCTCTGTACAAGCCCTGATTAAACTGTACTAGTCGTGGATTACTGCAGCAGCTCATCTTTTCTATGGTATAAAAAAAAAAACCAAAAAAACGAGTCACTTATGGATAAGTGTCCTTTAACCATTAATTGCAATGGAATCTGTCCATTATATGTTAGAGGCAAAATTTACTCCTGGTAAAAATACACTAATGTCTATGTATTTCATCAATTAAAAACGTAGGCTAGTTTCTCCAGTTAAGAAGTTTCCCTTGTAATTTTATATGCAGCTTAGTATATATTATCTCTGCTCTTGATAACAGCAGTTAAAATGATTGAAAAGACAGAAAGTATCTGCCATTCCTTCCAGTTATACTTATGAGGATGAAATAGTGCAGCCTACATACAGAGGAGCACAGTTAAGGTGTCCTAAGCTGTCATAATAGGTTTGCAGAGAAAAATTGATTTTCCTGTAATTTCAATTTTGCGTATACCTAGAATTTAAAAAAAATAAATCCCAAGTTGTTTAAGAGGAGATCTTCAACTTCTTGTGTTTCATTGCTCCCAATGTTCACGGATCAAGAAGAGACAGGAATTTCCTTGGTATCTTTTTCTCCTGAGATTACACGCAACTACTATCCACTCAGTTCCAGCCATCCATTTTTGAAGCAACTTAATATGGTGCCTGCTACACAGCCATTCCTTCAAAGGAAGGATGTTTGAAATTCCTTGGATGCAATTCAATTTATACTGAAGTCAAAAATCTTTTCTCCTTCACTGTCAAGAGTTTTTTTTTTGACAGAAAAGTCCTCAGATTCTAAGCTATTAGTTGTTGGCAACATTATTTACAGAATGAATGAAGTTACGTGCCCTTCATGCTAGTTTCTATACTTTAATTTCTAATTTTTTTTGTAGTAGTCAAATTATGGAAGTTATATTCCAACTCCAACTTCAGCAACTTATAGAAAAGGGGGGAAATCAACAGATTTTAGGACCTGTGCTTCTTTCAGGCCTTTTAAAAAAATCAACATTTTTGAGTGAATAAATAGAGTCAGCCCCATTTTACTGACAGAGAGATAACAGATGGTACATGTAGGCCATGCAAAGCAACTCTTTACAGAGGATCCAAGAGTCAGACTTGCAGCCCTGGCAGATGATCTCTGTGAATTTTGATGGAGCAGCTGAAAGAGTTCCCAACTCCTCCAATGGAAATAATTTCTGGCAGAGGTGGAGCGTGTGTATGTGGAGAAGCAGAAAGAGACAAGAACAGCCAGTTTGTCTGTGCCTCAGTTGTCACAGCTCATCTAATTTGGCATCGTAGCAATAATATACTGTAATCAATTATACAAATCTATAACTACAGGTGTTAACTGCTGTGGTAATGGTATCTGACAGCTTGGGCCAGTGGAGAGAGGGTTGACTTAGAAATGGAAAAGTATCATCACAGTTGCTCCAGCAAGATTTATCACAGTTCATCTGCCAGTTAATCTCTTGAATATTCACATAAGATTTCGTTTGTCTAAATTCAAACTAAAATAAAACTGCCTCTAGCAATATTTCACTGGAATAACTGCAGGCCTCAAACAAAAACTCGTTCGAGGATGGCGCTGACTGCTGTTTCTCACAAAAAACACCAGTCTCAAGAATCATAAGACAGATATCAGTATTCAACACTATTGAGGTCCTCTCTACCTCAACTTTCAATATATCTGAATCATTTCATCCCTGGAATTTGACACTATCTCAAGCTTGGTAATGTCCTCTTCCTCTTACCCTTTTCTCTTCTAAGGGGTGCTATGGTTTTAACACATCATTAAAGGAAAGGAAGTTTCCACCATATACATATCCTTAAAAACAATTAAGGCACTGATATGCAGTTTAAAAATTTTGCTAACAGAGAGGCAGTGAAATGCTCTGGTCTGATAATATCCGAAAATAAGTCTAACTGTACATTTAACAGACACTGATAGAAGATAAAAATTTCTATTCCTTCAAATAATCATGCCAGAGAAGTGAAGTACAATAGAAAAGGATGCCGACTGCATTTTGACAGTCTTAAGTACTTAAACACCTCTCCTTTTCCTCTCATTTCAACTCTTCTTCCTACCCCAAAATAATAAAACAAAAAAACAACCCAAGCAATGAGAGTTAAATGAACCTAAATTCTAGGGATTATCAAAGAATCACAGAATGGCTTGGGTTGGAAGGGACCTCAAGCATCATGAATTTCCAACCCCTCTGCCACATGCAGGGCCAATCTCCACATTTAATATTAGACCAGGCTGCCCAGGGCCCCATCCAACCTGGCCTTGAACACCTCCACGGTCAGGGCATCCACAACCTCTCTGGGCAGCCTGTTCCAGCACCTCACCACTCTCATAGGAAAGAACTTCCTCCTGACTTCCAACCTAACATAAAACCATTTCCCCTCGTCCTGCAGTTATCAACCCTTTCAAAGAGTTGATTCCCCTCGTGTTTGTAGGCTCCTTTTAGGTACTGGAAGGCTGCAATGAGGTTACCTCACAGCCTTCTTTTCTCCAGGCTGAACAAGCCCAGCTCCCTCAGCCTGTCTTTGTAGTAGAGGTGCTCCAGTCCCCTGATCATCTCTGTGGCTCACCTCTGGACTCTCTCCAACAGTTCCCCGTCTTTCTTGTACTGGGGGCTCCAGACCTGGATGCAGTACTCCAGATGGGGCCTCACAAGAGCAGAGTAGAGGGGAACAATCACCTCCCTGTCCCTGCTGGCCACCCCTCTTCTGATGGAGCTCAGGATACCATTTGCTTCCCAAGCTGCAAGTTCACACTGCTGGCTCACGTTAAGTTTTTCATCCATCAGAACCCTCAGGTCCTCCTCTGCAGGACTACTTTCAGACTACCCTAGAACAAGCATACATCCACTTTCCTTAAAGACTGAACTAAACTTCCTGTTAAATGTGAACTTATGTTCAAAAAATATGAATATGTCAAGGTCACTTAGACTCTAACATTCCAGCAAATCTCAAGGACAGACAATTACCCAGTAGGGACTGAAATGAGATCTGAGAAAAAGTGCCCACCAACAGATGGCAACAGCCAGCTGAGGGTACATTATAATCAGTAGCAGCAGAGTTGTTTTAAGGATCAAGCTGGAGTGTCAGACGGGATGAAAGATCTGCTCTGAGCACAGTTAAGGAGTGACAAAGATGATGTTTCAAACCTGCAGCACAAGTATGTGTAAGACAGGACCCAAGATTCTCATGACAGTTTGTGACACAATAGGATTTGGGGAAAGTAAAAAAAACAAAACAAAACATGATAAAGTTGAGAAAGCTGGGCTAGCTAGACTTCCCTGTTCCCAAAGAACCTTGACCTGATGATTAATGCCAGCTTCCAGAATTCTAGGGGATTATGGAAAAGACCTTTCCTGTGGGGCAGAATCTCACTTTTGGCTCCTACTGTAAGGTAACCACAATGCAGACTGGTGAAATCAGGGTGCTCCTTCTTACCTCCAGAGAACACTTTTGTATTGCCACTGTTGAAAGCTAGGCAGAAGATATTGGAGTGATGCTCCCCTTTCAGCTGAACTGGTTTGACTCTTGAGTGGATGGCTTCTTCCATATGCCAAAGTAAGACCCGGCGGTCATCACCTCCTAGAGGAGAGGAAGGAAACATTACTGCTCAAGACGTGTAAATTGGTGACAGGCAAGTTATTTAATTCTGCAGTTACTCGTTGAAGAATCCCTAATTAGCATTAAAAGAAATTATCACACCTTGTAATGATTTGGATACATAAGCATTTATATAAAGACACCATGAAGCCGGGTATTCAATTAATATTAACGATAGCAGAGAAATCAGCAGGAAGTTTGGAATAAAAAGCTGCTATTCTGCCAATATATACTGACAAGCTATAGCAACCTGGTGACTCGGGATTTTACTGGCATGTAAAATTCTGCACAAAGCTATAGATAAGTTACATGCCAAACTAACATATGCATGTTGGCAGAATGCTTTCATACCAACTTCTTATTGTCAGCATTGCTTAAGTTATTCATGAAACAGGAGGTTTTTTTCCCCTCTCTAACCAACAGCTATATCTCCACTAACAGTTTAAAAGTTCCCATCACATAGATTAGTAATGGGACTGACATAGGGCCGTAAAAAGATTTTGTTAAAGCATTCAGGAATCTTAAGCATGTCAAGTCATGTCATACTTTTAGATCTGTAATGGTTAAGGCAGATATTTCTGAGGTGAACTCCTGATAAAGAGGACAGCCAAATAAGTTCAAATCTCTTTTGCTTCTTACCTTTCTATGCTTTTTCTAATAGTTAGCCTATTTGCAGTTAAATCACAGAATCCTTAGAGTTGGGAGGGACCTTTAAATCTCATCTAGTTCAACTCCCCTGCAATGAACATGGATACCTACAGCCAGATTAGGGTGCTCAGAGCTTGGTCCAGCCTGGCCCTGAATGTCTCCAGGAACAGGGCATGTACCACCTCTCCGGGCAACCTGTGCCAGTACCTCACTGCCCTCACTGTAAAAGATGGGATCTCAGTTCAGAACTTCACACAGAAATACATTAAAGTGCCTCCTTCTCTATCTGAAAACAAAAAGAAGCACTAGAAACAAAAGAAACAAAAGTAATACTAGATAATGTTTGTGCTTTAATTGCATTAAGGAACAGCTTATTAGGAAGTAAAAAAAAAAAAAGAAGATTCTATTATATTTGATAGTGCTAAACATCAGTTTTGGATGCCTCATAAAATTCAAATAAAGATACTTAAACTTTGAATCAAAATATTTTTATCTTCCTTTTAATAACAAATGAAAGAAAGGCACCACAAGTTAAAGGCACCACTAGAAACTTGCTTGATTCACTTGAAACATTTTACTGCCTTTTTCACAATTGAAAGCATAACCTCAGTCCCTTTTGAGTTCCCACCCTGAAGGAAAAAAGTCACAAAACAGAGACAAAAGGAAACCAAAATTGTTCTGTTTTACTCCACAAAGAGGCAAATGCATAAATAGAACTCTTCACTACTGTTATTCAGATTTCTCTAAAATTTCACACCATTTGATTTTATTGGTATCTTTTTCCATGGAACTGAGTTATATCAAATATCCCTTAAGCTAACAGTCTTTCAGCCTTTAAGTCTCCTAAGAGATTTTATGACAATCACTTTGATAGACAGTACAGCTGCATGTTACATTTATCCATTCTCCATGAAATTAATATTGTGTGTCCTTCCCCCTGATTTGGTACTTTAGAATGCAAACAAGTAAAAAGATTTGTAATGAATCTGATAACTAATGAGAACAAGAGTCAAATGTGAAGTCTCCAGAAAAACCCATAATTTATGGTAATTTAAATCGATATAAGCTTAAATTCCTTTCCGTCTAGAAACAGGAAAGAAAGCTGCACTTGTACTCCAGTGATTGCAGATGAGCTAATAATAAGAGGACACAGAATTGATGACTGGTGAAATACATGGCCACTTCAGTCACACTAAAATAAAAGAGCGACTGTCAGACTCAAAGGGGTTACTTCCAGAAGCTGCCAACAGCCAGGTCTTAACATTATCATCATCTGACAAATAACATCAGCAACATTTAAGGCTACTGCTTCTATCAGACTGCATCTATTGTCTTTCAAGACTTTTGCAAAAGACATTTCCCAGCAAAACATAATAACAGTTTTATTGTTACCATAGCAAGGCAATTTGCTAAACCCCTGCTTTAAAGTCTACACATCCTCCTACCCAGTAGCAGAGCAACTTAGGAACCTCACTTCAGCAGCAAGCTCTTATTTACTTTTGCTACCTACCTAGTCCAGATATAAACAAAAAAAATGAAGATCACCAGTTAGAACAATCATTGCTGTGGTTTTCAACAAACATACAGAACAATAGGAGGGAGAAATTACAGCCTGTACAGAAAAGTCTTTGGCCTTGATCAAAGTTATCATAACCTTAAAAAAAAAAGTCCCTATTTTCAATGCTTGTTGCCTACAGCTCCAGATAAGAAACAACTCTCCCTAATGAATCTCTGCTCCCAAACACCAGGCAAAAGGCCTCACTACTACAGGGGTCTGAGAATTATGCTTGCCCTTATAGTGGCACCTGTTCCACAGCTTAGGAGCTTGTATGGTCTTCACACTCATACAATTCTGCCCCTTCTCCACTTACACATTATTTTTCAGGTGAGTTTCATGACTCAGTTTTATTCCCCTCATACTCAGTAAGACGAAAAAGCTTAACAAAATGCTGATGTTGCAATGAATTGGAAGTGCATTGCCTTCTGCCTCCAGTTCAGCTACTCCAGAAATACTTCTGATTGCAACCAGTTCCACCAGAAACAAAAATCTGTTAGAAAACGAGAAAGGGAAGGATGGAAGCATACAAGTACAGGTACGCAAGGAGACAGCAAAGAAAATGTTAAGATGTGGAAAGAGATGGCTCTGTAGAAAGGAACTGTGATTCATCTGACACAAAGTGCGCGTGCATAATGGAATGTAAGTTACAAGCCTGAGAACTACAGGAAAATTCATGCCTATAGCATTTGCTCTGTGCAGTTGGTCAGTGAATAGAGATTAATTAAGATAATTTCAATTTACAGTGGACTTATTGTGCACACACACCAAAGATGCAAAGCTCAACGTTTTCCAATAGCATTGGAACCACTGTGCAAAGTTGTGATGGCTCTGCAGTGCTCTCCAAATGAGATTAACTGTGTATAACTACATGATAGTAAGCATATACCAATAGCAACATGTTTACTACACATTCAAAAAAACTAGATATATGGGATCTCTGGAAAGCACCTCAGCACCAGGCTCTTCAAGGGGATTTTCCAGAAATTAAGTCCCACTTATCCATGACTTTGCAATTTTCGTGCTCCTGACGTCACATGATCTGAAAACTATGTTTTAGAAAGTTTCAAAGAATGTGTTTTAGAATTCTGCTAAGAAAATCAAGCAAAGATGCAAGAGATACCTAAAAAATACTAGCATTGATTTTTAAGAGGATATTATTTAAATATATTTAACTATACAGAATTTGAATGCAACCTACTGACAAGTTTAGAACGGCAGTGGCAATCACTTTCTAGTACTGCTTTCTTACGTTGTGATACCATTAATAATGTTTGAACAAAGTTCAAAAGTTTGCTAATGACAAAAAGTTGCAAGTATTTGCAAGTGTGGATACAAATAGAAGACTATTTTATGGGTTTCTCGATCCTTTAGCACTCATAAGTCAAACAGTTAATAGCACATTGGAGGCTATCTCCTACTGGGCCATGTGGCTGCTCATTGAAATCCCAGTAACTTGAACTGTGAAAGTTACCTGGGACAATGTAACTATGAGAGTGTCAGAAGTAAGTTTGACATCCACAAAGTGGGAAAAGATTCACTTTCTTCTTACTTCAATACTCCTGTTCAGGACTGCGTGACTGACAATTTGAAAAGTGTACGTTTGTGTGACCCAGCTGAGAATGTCACGCCACAGCCACTTCTCAGAAAGGTATCATATTTTAGAAGACTTAATTAGCCAAGTGCTTCTGTGTTCATTATAGGTCATACCTGCTCCTACATGTAAAATGGAAGTCAGGCAGGAAGAGAACTCCAGCCAAAGAAATACTTGTGGTCAGCAAGGCCAAAAAATTTATCACCTTTCCACATCATTTTCAACGTAGAGAAGAAGAGTATTCCAATTATTATTTAAAAAATAAATAACAAGAATACATGAATGAAGAACAAATACACATTTCTTCTCCTACCCTGAACCACTGGAATACTTTGTTAATGTTTAGTGTTTTCTGTCTTGATGAGACACAGGCAGGACAGAGGACACACAACATAGCTAAAAATAAAGCTTTCATTTCAAGTCTTAGGACAGATATCCCGAAATAGACTTCTAAGTAAGTAAACATTGTGTTCACCCTTGACAATTTTCTGGTTCCTGTCGACCCAAAGAGGACCTCAGGGAATAATTAAAAACCCTTTTACTGTGTGCCCACTTCAGAATGGTTTGTGCTTACTGTATACCCCAAGAGTTTAGGAGAACAAAAGTAAGAACAGTGTTTAAAAAACAAAACAAAACACAAAAAACCCACACATCAGAGGTGATGTTTGGTTGTTTTTAAGTAGCATAGACACAACATAAGTAGAATATGTCTACTTTAAACAACCAAACTGATCCTAAATGAGTTAGCATGGCATATATTCAAGAACAAACATTTCACTACCTTCACAGTGTCAAAATCAAAGCATTCCAATTTTGCCCCACTTTTGGGCTAGTTCTTCCCTAAAACATTCCCTGAACAGGCTACCTTCAGAGCCTGTAAATTCACACACAATTAACTCTAGAAGAGAATTCTACTCCCATAGTAGTCTACCTGAACTGATTAAGTAGTTCTCCTCAAAAGTTTGAAGGAGGCCAGTGCATACCCTTGCTGAAAGCCAATCTAGCCCTTACAGGACCTGCATAGCTTATGAAAGACACTCGAACTCTCACATGTAGAGAAAAGCATTTTAAAAAAATCATACCACTAAGGACTTAAACTGCAGTTTAAGTGCATTAACCTTACCAATTGCAGACAAAGCTTAAGACATTACAGTTCTTTCTCCTGTATGCCTCTTCAGGCCTAGT